AGGCCGCGCGGGACACGCTTCCCTGGACACAGCCGCTTATGATTCGCTTAAGACGGGGAGGCGTGAACAGACCGCTGGAAGGGAAGAAATGTTAACTCCTGAGTAGGGACGATCACTAAGGGAGATGAGTCAAGTCAGTGAGCCTTTCTTATCCAAGTCAGCAGTGAGTGTCTGTGTGTGTGTGTGTGTGTGTGTGTGTGTTACTGGGAATTGACGCACCCAGAGCCTTCGCATTAAACTGCATCACCAACCCTTTTAATTTTTTTTTTTAAGATAGGGTCCTGCTAGTTGTCCAGACTCCACTCCAACTTTCAATCCTCCTACCTCCGCCTCCCACCGTGCTAGCATTGCAGGCCAGTGGCACCACACCTAGCTCTGCCCCTTTAAAATTGAAATGGTAAAAGTCCCTTCCCTAAGTTGCTGGTGTATTTGTTGCCTAACAGAGCTCTCTCGACAATTAAAAAATAAATAAACACCAAATAATTATCTAATTCAATAGATGGGGCGAATGATCGGTAACTTAGGAGGGAAGCATTAGGGCTCAGAGAGGACAGTGAGGGCCAGACATCGACAAGGACTTCCTGGGCCTGTAAGGACGGAGAGCTGGGAGAGCATTTCAAGAGTTGAGTTTCCACTAATAAAAAACTACAGGGAAAATATTAACCAAAAGAGCAAGGATTCTATGACGCTGAAGACTAATAATGTGTTTTGATAAAGCAAACTACCTAAAACTGTGGAAGCTCTTAGAACCTCAGAACCAAACACCTGCTATGTTAAGAAGCTAAATTAAACACCGAAGATTAAAATCCACTAAAAGGAGATTATTAACCATCTCTAATAACAATAGTTGTCACTTTTCCATGGAATTTCATGCAGTGAACTGTTTCCTATTGAAGTCTCTATCATATTAAGTTCCCCTACAAATAAGAATATACACCTAAGCTGAGTGTGGTGGCTCATGCCTGAAATCACAGTACTCTGGGAAGCTGAGGCAGGAGATTGTGAGTTCAAGAACAGTGCGGGATATATAGGAAGTTCAAGGCCAGCCTAGACTGCATAGCAAGATCCCACCTCAAAAAAAAAAAAAACAAACATATGATATATGATGTTACGCTCTTTAACTTTTCAGTTTAAATTGTTATATTCTGATACAGACATTAGGTAAATGGTTTTTAAAAGAAGTGTTGCAACCTAAGTCCTGAATAAATTAACTAAAAGAAAACTTAAAGGCATTTAAGGGAAAACAAAATATCCCCCAAAAGTCTCATGTGTGTGGAAGGGGATATGTCAGGGGGTGCTGTGCTCATTGCTGGATTCATCATGGATGAGTTCAGGACTGAATGCGCTGTAGGAGGTGGAGCCTGGTTGAAGCCGGTCACTGGGGCACAACCTGGAAGGATGCATTCTTGTTCCCAGCTCCTCCCTTCTCTCTCTGCTTCCTGGCTACCATGAGGCAAGCAGCCTTTCCATACCAGGCTCTTCCACCATGATGTTCCTGCTTTGGAGCCAGCTGACCATGGACTGAACCCTCTGAAACTGTGAGTCAAGATAAATCCCTTCTCCTTTAAGTTGCAGTTGTCAGGTGTTTTGTCTCAGCAACTAAAAAGTAACTGATACATAGTCCTTCTGTTCCCTTGTCGGGGGAAGCAGGCAGAGCTTGTCTCTCCTCCCCTTGAATCTCGAGGGGGGCTGTGAGTGAAAGGTTTCCAGAAGGCCTTGAAGCTCATGACAAGGGTGCTGGAGAGAGAGGGGGAGGGACTCTGAGGAAGGAGCCCACACATGGGGCATTCCAGGCCCCACATCTCCCACTCTGCTGGAGCCTCAGACTTTTGAAGGTTCTTACAGAATGAAGTCTGAATGTGCATTGAAGACATGAGTCATCGGGGCCAGGGATTTAGCTCAGCGGTTTCACTGCCTGCTGTGCAAGCGCAAGGACCCGAGTTCGATCCCCTGTACCAAAAAAAAAAAAAAAAGAAAGAAAACATGAGTCATCTCCCTCTTGACAAATTTTGATTTTCCTTTGGATATATACACAATAATTTTTTCAGTCCTAGGGATTGAACCCAGGGCCTTAGCACTGAGCTACATACTCAGGTCTTTTCTTAAAAATTGCTTGAGACAAGTGTCCCTAAGTTGCCCATGTTGGACTTGAACTTGGTAATTTAGTGATACTCTGCCTCAGCATAGCACTGCCCCAGGCCTCCACACATAGGTGTCCCTCAGCAGGTTTTGTTAGGTGGACAGAAAATAAAGGGACCTGGTGAAGGTGTCCAGGATCCCTTGTGGAAATTGCTTAACACTGTGTTTCCCGGAAAATAAGACCTAATGGGAAAATAAGCACCAGTCATTACCATGGCGATGGCCAGTGTCACGCAGAAGATTCCACCTCACTGTTCTCTCACTGGGTGGCCGCTCTGTAGGACAGGTGAAGCAAGGAAGGCTGACTTGGGCTGGCATTTTTGAGCTCTAGTTTTCCAGGCTGATTAGTTAGGTCTTATTTTCAGGGAAACATGGCATTGCTGCATTCCCTGTCAGGCCTCGGTACACCTTTGCATTTCTTCCCAAGGCAGATGTGACCTCCAAGTTACTGGACTTAATATGTAACTTGTGGCCGACTAGGCTTTCCAAAGATGGCCATATGCTCCCAATCACTGTCCAGCATGGGGCGCTGTTTCTCTCAGAGCCACAATTGGCAGGTCTGGAAATCAAGGGGTAGAGATAGCAATGATGCTCTCTGCTCTCCTACCCTAGAAGTCTTGCTTCCAAGGGAGGAAAGAACCAGGAGGCACAGCACCAATTCCATGGCATGGGAAGTGAGGGCTTCTACTTGATCACTTGAGGATCCTCATATCTCAGAACCAGCAGGTAAGAAGGGACTTACTATGCTGCTCCAGACCACCTGGGGAACTAGACAGTCGAGGTGAGGAGAAGCATGTCTGGAATACAAGAGATCTTGTCTAAAAGTGACTCACAAGGAGGAAATGACCCTGCTTGACTTCTGAAACTTGGTCATTCAAGGCCACCTGGCCCATGGGATGCTCACATCTGGACTACAGCCGCCATGTTGTGGGAAAACCAGGCCAGTGAGGTGCCGCTGCCAGCCAACAGCCCCAGCTGTTGGATGACATGTGGATGACCAAACCTTCTAATGCCCCCAGCCTTTGGGCCCAGGGCCTTCCAATGGAAGTGCTGGGCACAGCAGAAACGAGATGATCTCACCTGCCATGCCCTGCCCCTGTTCCTCGAATGTGGAATCTGCATCTGTGAGCAGAATAAATGGATTTTTTATCTTTTGGCAGTACTGGGGATGGGAGCCAGGGCTTTCACACTGAGCTATGCCCTCAGCCATTTTTATTTTTCTTTCTGCACAGGGTTCACTAAATTGCTAAGTTGCCCGAACTGGGCTCGAGCTTGAGCCACCCCCCCTTCCTCAGCCTTCCGGAATGCTGCGGTTACCAGCATTTGCCACCATACCCAGCATAAATGGATGCTTTTAGCCACCAGATTTTGAGGTAATTTATTAGGCAGCCATAGTAACTGGACCATCATTATTTAGAGCTATGCTTTACAATTCCCATTCTTGTTATTTTAACACCACAGGCACTAGGCAATATAAATTTGTATATTTAGAATTATTGTCTCCAGGCATTTTAAGAATTCTGAACCATTTTTTTTTATTACCAACTCCCCCTCCCCCTTTTTGGTACCAGGGATCGAACTCAAGACCTTGCACTTGCAAGGCAGGTGCAGGTGCCACTGAGCTAAATCCCCGGCCCAAGAGAGGGTAACCAACCTGCTTTTAACATAGCAAGTTGTCTTGTTTCACCCTGCTAAAAAATAATCACAAGCCTTATTCTGTTTTGTTCTGTTTTGTTTGGGGGCCCCTGAAGATTGAACCTATGGCCTTCGCACAGAGCTACATCCCAGCCCTTCTTAAATTTTGAGACAAGGTCTTGCTAAGTTGCTGAGTTGCCCAGGCTGGGCTCAAACCTGCCATCCTCCTGTCTCGGCCTCCCAGAGTGCTGGGATCACAGGTGTGCGCCCCCACGCCCGGCCACAAACAAGCCTTGTTAACCTGTGATTGCTCAGTGTCACAGCCAGAGGGAGGTACAGGTGCACAGTGTATCCATACTGCAAGCAATGGAACTCAGACCCCCTGGCTGGTTTCTGAGCACTGGTCAGGCCCATGGTCTGTCCTTAAACACTCACCACCTGGGGCCATGTTCTCTTACTCTGTTTCCAAGTGTGGCTCCTTTCCCTGAGATTACCAGCATCACTTGCTGGGGCTGATGAGCCCTGGAAGTGGCCAGCACTGAGGGACAGCGGCTTGGGCCATAAATCCTGCCCTGCCAGGCTGGCTTGTAATGAGCCAGCAGTGGTGAGGCCACTCTCCTGCTCTACAGTCCCGCAGAGATTCCCTTGGGCTGGCCTTTGTCTCCTCCCTCCATATATCTGCAGTGAAGGACTTTACGGCCACTTCTTTGGGGGATACAGAGTTACAGACCTCTGGATTTATGTGTTTGCCAGGCCCCCTCTGGCCCCTGCGCTGTAAGGTGAATGCCTGGCCAGCGGGAATGATGTTGCATTCTAATAGATCTGGAGCAGATTCTGACAGCTCATTTTGACAAAAGCGTAAAATTCAATGATGGTTGCTCAGCTTGGAAAACTGTAGGAAATGTGGGGAGGAAATGAGGATGTTTAGACATGCACTGCCTCACCTCCAAACTGCCTGCCTGAGTCCGGTAAATTGTGGAAAAAATGGAAAGCTAAGCCAACAGATTGAACAACGGCAGTAGCTGGTGTGGAAGCAGCAAGACTTAGCCCTGAGGATGTGCTATGAACATCCGGGTTCCTCAAGTACAGGGATCGCTACCTCGACAAAATCAGGGGTGTGTCAGGGAAGTGGAGGTGTGCAGCAGCTGTCTGAGTCACTGTTGTTGCTGGGACAAGTACCCAACACCAACACAAGAGGAGAGGTTTATCCTGGCTCCTGTGTCAGTCCACAGTTGGCTGGATCCAAGGCAGGAAAGCCTGGCAGAGCAGCTGCTCAGATGCTGAGGGCCAGGAAGGGGGCGGGGATTGAACTCAGGGCCTTTGCTATACCCCCAGCCCTTTAAAATAAATAAATATATATATGGGGGGGATTGTCTCGCTAAGTTTCCCAGGTAAGGCTTGAACACAAAATCCTCCTCCCTCAGTCTCCCAGAGTACTGGGGTTACTGGCGGGCACCACAGTGTCTGGCTAGATCTGTCCCTTTTTAAGAGCATTCCCGGAAGACTCAACCTGGGACTGCCATTTACATCTCTCCAGGGAAAACTTCCTCTCAAGGCTCCCTGCCCCTGCATAGGCACCTGGAAAGGTAGTTGTTTTTCTCTTTCTTCTTCCTTCTCCTCCTTCCCCTCATCCTTCTCTTCCTCGTCCTTTTTTTCTTTTCCTTCCCAGTCTCTCTTATAGAGACAAAGGGCAGAGGGCTGATATGTTTGAATTTATCTTCTCCAAACTTCAGGCGTTAAACTGGGCGTGTTGGCACACACCTGTAATCCCAGCACTGGGGAGGCTGAGGCAGGAGGAGTGCTGCGAGTTCAAGGCCAGCCTGGGCCAATAGCAGGACCCTGTCTCACAACAACAACAACAACAACAACAACAAAAATACAAAATTCAGGCGGATAGTACTCACAGGCAGGGCCTCGAAATGGTGATTACATCATGCAGAGTTCCTCCTTGTGACTGGGATTAGGTCCATATAAAAAGGTTTCCTGGGCTAGAGATTTAGCTCAGTGGTTCTGCCCCATGCCTCGCAAGCATAAGGTCCCGAGTTCCATCCCCGGTACCAAAACAAAAACAAAAACAAAGCAAAAAACAAAACAAAACAAAAGGTTTCCTGCAGCTTTTGGTCTCTGGCCCTCCCGTTTTCTGCCAGGAGAGGGCGCGGTGTCCCTTCACTCCGGAGGAAGCAGAGCCCGGACAAAGGCCCCGCCGGCACCTTTGCGGAGGACCTCACAGCCCCGTGGAGTGGGTTTCTGTTCTTCATCAATCACGCAGTCCAGGCATCTGGAAAGCGGCGCCAGTGAACAGACACGAGCCTGTGTGTGGCCCTGGGGCTGATCAGAGTTGGGTAAAGGCCTGCGCCTGTGCCCTGGCCTGGGCACCTGAAGGACATTTTCCTCGCCTGTCTTTGCAAACCCACCTCTGCAGGGGCAGAGCACAGCGCGCTCACAGGCGCAGAGCACAGTCCCTACGGCGCGGGTGTCACATCACAATCCCACTGTACATACTCCAAGGGACCAAAGAGCCACGTGCAAAACGTGCTCTACTGCGAGGTCAATGAAATAAATGCTGGGGCCAGCCCAGGTCGTGAGCTGTTCGTTTGTTTCTGGGGTCAGTGTTTCACTCTGTCGTTCAAATTGGCCATGAACTCGAGACGATCCTCCTGCCTCAGCCTCCTGAGTGCTGGGATTGCAGGTCTGGGCCACCATGCGCCACCCCAGGTTACGATAGGAGTTTTAAACGTGCAGCCCAATCTCTTCCCTGTCTCACTGCAGCTTGCTGCCTGTCTCCCACTTCACTGGGTGTCCAGCCTCAGGCAGGGACCCCAGAAATCTCCGTTAGTGGGCAGCTATTGAATCAGCCTATTCCGGGGAGCCTGGACCAGCAGCACTGGGCTGAGAGGTTGCCACCCTTTATTTTGGGGTTGGTGAAGGGATTGTCTGATGGGATTGCTACCTGGCCTTACACGGCCTGCCAAGGAGAGGGGCCACTCACATTAGATTCCAACTCATACTCATGAGGCATAAGAAACACATATGCATATATTTGTCATTTTTACAAGAGCTGATGGCTTATTTTTATTTCTTTTTCTCAAGTGAAGTTCCTGGCATCCTTTTTTGGTTGTTTTAGTTACTGGAGATTGAACCAAGGCCTTCGCACTGAGCTACATCCCCATACCTTTATTTATTTTATTTTGAGACAGGGTCTCACTAAGTTGCTGAATTGCCCAGACCAGGATTCAACTTGTGATCCACCTGCCTCTGCCTCCCAGAGTGCTGGAATTCCAGGTGTGGGCCACCATACCCAGCTGCTGCTGGCGTCTTCTGGAAGTTTTCTTGTTATTTTCAGCTAATGAAAAGTTATCTGGTTACTTTCATCACAATCACAGCCTTGTTTCTGTACTGAAACTGGAGTCCAGTACAATGATGAAGATTGACAGCTTTCGTCAAGGTGTAGCCCCCCCCCCAGCCTGGCCTGTCCCCAGCCGAAGGCTGCGATGTGGTGGATGGTGAGGCTGAGCCTTCCCTGCCTCCCTCTCCTCTCACTGTGGTTTCTGATCGCTGCGGATGGATGGATAGATGGGGGGGGTGGGGCTCCTCAGCTTCACTGGCCTGGTGAATGAGCGGATTCTGCGCCTCCCCAGCTCAGTGATGCTCAGGGACGCTGCCCACCCTCTGAAGCACACTGTGTGGTGGAGGCAGCTCACAGGAGGCCAGAGACAGCTCTGCCCACTGGAGGGAGTGGAAGCAGTAGGTGGGAGGAACTGCTGCATCACTCAGCTTCCACAGGCGGCTCTCTCACGAACACTCCCTGTGAAAGGAGCTCCAACTTGGCTCCCATGGGTTTATGCAGCTCTTGGTGGAAAAAGTCACAGTTTCCCTTGTGGCTGCAGGAAGCACAGTTCACTCTCAGTGCAGGCTTCTCTTTCTTCGTCTTTGTCTTTGCTGCCTCAAGTTTGAAACTCCTGAGATCAAAGCTTCTCTGAGAAGTGCTCTGGAAATCACTTTCGTCCTTGAGTGGGGAAAGCATGAGAGCTCTCTCTCGCTCTCTCTCGCTCTCTCTCTCTCTCTCTCTCTCTCTCTCTCTCTCTCTCTCTCTCTCTCTCATCTCCAGACTTCCCTTTGGGAATTCTGGCATAACACGTTGTCTTAGGCACTTGGGACAAAATAACCAACACCCATAACTTAGCGGAGGAGAGGTTTATTTGGCTCATGGGTTCAGTCCATGGTCTGCTGCTCCAAGGCAGGAACATCATGGTGGAAGGGACTGGCGGAGGATGGAGCACAGCGCAGTTAAGGAAAGGAGACCTAAACCACTACTGATTTCTGGCAAAAATATTTAACACCTAGGGGTGCCAGGCAGTCACTAGCCTTGGCTCCTGGACAATAAACAGCCTGTCGCTCAGGTCGTGACCCCCCTGCCCAGGACCCGCTCAAAGGTGTGAGTCTGGCCAGGACTCCAGATGGCGAGAGCGCACAGGTGCTGTCAGTCAGCCCGGTGCTGTTTGACTAACCATCAAATAATCTGCTTTCTTATGTGAAGAAAATTGATGCTGATGACACGTAGCTTGCGCTAAATAAGTATTAACTAGTAGGATGGTTAATAATGACCGATCCAGGCAATTTACGCAGGTTCAACTGCACAGGTCTGCGCTTTGGGGTCAGGGGCGGGCATGAGCATGCGCGCAGCTGCCCGGCGGGTCTTTTCTTGCCTCGGTACCTTTTTCCCGGGATCCAGTTCCCGCCGGGCGGGACTCGGAACCCCGAAGGCCGCGGCCCGGAAGTGCGTGCAGCAGCGATACGGCAAGTCATTGGGGACAGAGGGAGTGTGCTGGAGGAGCCGCGAGGACGGTGCGAACATGGCGGCCTTCTCCGGTGCGTTTGCGGACACTGGGGGCGATGGGGCGGTCGGTACTGGTCTCCGCGTGGGGGCAGCTGGTGGGGAGATTTCTGGGGACGCGCGCCGCCTTGCCCTCCAGCGCCCGCCCGCAGTCTTCTCCCCGGTTCTTCCGCTCTTCATCACCCGCACACTTCCTCGGCTCGGGCGGCGGCCTGGGCGCGATGCTGTAGCAGCCGGGCCTCCGCTACCTGGGACGTGGCGCCGCCACCCCGCGCCGCCCTCTGCCCGCGGCAGGCCAGGGCCCGGCCCGGTGTGACCCCGGAGCTCAGCTGGGGGACGGGGGGGGGTCGGCCGCCGAGTGTCGGGTCTTTCGGGCCCCAGCGCGAGCCGCCCCTTTGTTTTCTGAACGCCACTATGTGCACGTGAACGTCAGAGGGCCAAGCCAGAGGGAAAGTTTTCTCTCGACGTACATCCTACCCTTTCAGAAGTTTTGAAAATTATTTGCGGTTATGGGGTCCTCCTTTATTGCCAACAGGATCTGATGTGGCATGTGGAACCCGGCAGTTGACGTTGTTTCGCCTTTACCACGTCTGCATAACTAATCAGCCTGAAATGTACTAAATGTGATACATTTTTATGGTCATATCAAGTCAGGCCGACTCGCTTTTAATGTTCTTGACCTATTAAGATGACTCAGATGCTGTAGTATTACATGTTTTTCAGTTTTTTTCCGGTAAGAATATTAGAAATTGGGCTGGGGTTTTAGCTCAGTGGTTCCGCCGCCTGCCCTGCAAAGGCAAGGACCAGAGTTCGATCCCTGGTACCAAAAGAAAAAAAAAAAAAGAATATTAGAAATTCCAAATCTAATTATTTCAGAGCTGTTACACTTAGATTTTCCAATAGGAGTCATGAGCAAATATACTCAGAGCCAACCTCCGTAGAGTAGGTGGAGATTGTTATTTTTTAGGTTCCAGGGTTTGGGAGTCATGCACAAATTTCGGGTAAAAGACTGGAAAAAGAGCGTGATTTTATGAAATGGGAGACAAAGAGGTGAAGAACATTAACATTACTGTTTTTCCCTTAACTGTCAAAAATGTTACAGTTGCTGGGCATGGTGGTGCACACCTGTGATCCCAGCACTCAGGAGGCTGAGGCAGGAGGATTGCTGAGAGTTCTAGGCCAGCCTGGGCTACATAGTGAGTTCAGAGGCAGCCTGAACTACAAAGGGAGACCCTGCCTCAAAAAAAAAAAAAAAAAAAATTAAAGAGACATCATTTCAAAGAAAACATGTAGAGCACCTGACCACAGTGTGGAATTTGCTGAAAGAAATCCATGGTTGCTGCTTGTAATGTAACAATTTTTCAAGCAGCTTTAGCTCACAGTATTCTGTTTGCACCTATTTAAGACTATACTCCCTCCCCTCTTTTAAAGCAATCTGTATTTTAGGGGAAGAACCACAGTTAGACTGTAATAGAGCTAATCCTTACAAAAGTTTGCCTGGGTTTCCCACTTTTGAGTTTGATTGATTTCTCTATCTGTGGATTTTCTTGGGGATATTTTAAAGGTAGAAGAGCTTGCTTTTTGGAAAATGATGATTCTGCTCACCTTATGCAAAGAAAATTTACTCTAGTAAAGAATGTGTTCATTTTGTAGATTTGCTTTGTGTCTTTTCAAAAACAATTAGAAAATTTCAAAATTGTTTATTTCTGGGGCTTGGTAATATTTGAGTATTTTTCATCTTTTATAAGGATATATACTTTTGTAAACAAAAGCAGTAATGAGTGCTATAATGAATGCAGGCTCAAAATAGCTTCTTTGGAAGAGAAGTTTAAATAATCCAATTAACTATGTGTAAATACCCTTTATGGTTCATTTGACAAATAAAATTACAAAACCTTCTCTGGAATAACCACTACCTGTAGACCTGGCCTCCTGGTCAAATTATTTAAATACATGTGCAATTTTTTTTTTTTTTTTGGTACCAGGGATTGAACTTGGTTCCTTGTGCTTGTGCAGCAGGCGGCAGAACCACTGAGCTAAATCCCCGGCCCATATATGTGCAATTTTTTAAAAAGGCAGATCTCCAACTGACATTTTCAATTATTCAAGTTTTCACTACTGGCTTTTCCATCTTTCGGTTAACCAGAATTTTGAAGACAGCCTCCAACAAATGTGGCTGTTCATTTTTCTTGGATCCTTGAGGGTATTCCTATGGATCTACCTAAGGAAGAGCCAGGACACTTACTTGCTGCGTTATCAGAAATGAAACAGCTGAAATGCTGATCTAGAACCCTAACTGGGGTAGATCTTCGCTAGTCCTGCAACAAGTGCACAAGCGCAGGGGACTCCTGTGTATTAAGTGACAACCATGTGCCAGGCGCATTATTACATTATTATGTCTCTACGAGATAGTTTTGTGTAGAAAAAGCAGATTTATGGTCTGGCCCAAGGTCACTTGCTGGTAAGTGAGAGCTTGAATCTGAATTTACGTCTGGCTCCAAAGTTTAAACCCTTTGAGCAGTGCCACACCCAGTAGGTCTGTCATATCTGAGGCACACTTCATAGCATTCCCTCAGTTCCATCAAAGTCATTTTTTTGTTTGTTTTGGTACTGGGGATTGAACTCAGGTCCTTGCGTTTGCACAGCAGGCAGCGAAACCACTAAATCCCTGACCCTTATCAAAGTCATTTCATTTTAAGAGCAATGTTAGGGCCGGGAATTTAGCTCAGTGGCACTGTGCTGGCCTTGCAAGCGCAAGGTCCTGAGTTCAATCCCTGGTACAAAAAAAAAGTAGTGTGACTTATGGTGAATTTAGTCTGTGGTTTTTAAAATTACTTTTTCTTTGCAGAAATGGGTGTTATGCCTGAGATAGCCCAGGCAGTGGAAGAGATGGATTGGCTGTAAGTACAAAGAGAAATGCCCTTGTTCCCAAGGACATTTTATGATTTAAAGTGGTGTCATGTTTTTAGTCTAGCTGGGTAAGTGAAATTCAGCATTTCTGGTGACTTCACAGTATGGAATGTTTCCTTTTTTAACTTTGACATATTTCTAGCTGAAAAAAATTGATTGTATTTGGCAAATAAAATTCTCTTTTAAATGTACAATGTAACATGACTGAATTAACTAACAAAAGCCCTTCTGCTATGACTCTTGTAGTCTCCCCACTGACATCCAGGCGGAGTCTATCCCCCTGATCCTAGGAGGGGGTGACGTGCTGATGGTATGTTGACATTTGGGGTGCTTGGGACCTGGGGGTGCACAATTCTAGGGCTTTGTGTTTGTAACCCACTTTAAGATTTTTCATGTTTTTATTTTTTTATTTTTTTATTTTTTTGGTACCGGGGATCGAACTCAGGTCCCTGCGCTTGCACAGCAGGCAGCGAAACCACTGAGCTAAATCCCCAGCCACTAACCCACTTCAAGAACTCCCTATGCTTAAAAATGATTTTTTTTTACCAAATTGATTTTATTTATTTACCAATATTCATTGTACATATACTGAATCCAAAATATTGGAGAGAAACAGCATACACAGAGGTGAAGCAGATATGGTCTTTACCCTTGGCTTAAGCCACTGGCTGTAAGGCTGCCTCGGGCATGCCAAGTGCTCCAGGGTTCCATGGGGCCTGCTTATCCTTCGGCTTGGGGATCCTCAGGGACTGCTTGGAGCAAGGGAAGATGAGAGAGGAGTGGATAGGAGAGCATCAGGTGTGATCCTGAACTGCTGCACATAGTTGCATAAGCCCCACATGTCTGGGTGGGAGGTGTGACCTTGGGTGATATGGAAATACCTAGTGGGCTGGATGATTTGCGCTCTTCCTTGGGTATTTTGGTGAAGATTGTGGGCCGGGGGAATGTCAGCAGGTAGGCAAGTACGGGTTAGCATTGTGTGAGTGTGGGGACTGATGGGGAGGCAGATGGCAGCCACTCTGGGGTGGTCCTGTTGGATGCTTCTGTCTAGGTTAGAGGGATGAAGGCTTCCGTTTGCTTTTCCCGGAGGCCACTGGAGAGGAAAGGAGTGAGCAGGTGCTCCGGGGTCAGGCAAGGTGACCAGGTTGGCAGGAGCCTGGTTGGGGTTAAAGATTTCTACACTCTGTGTTTAATTCAGCCTCTTTAATTGACAAACTGTAATACCAACTTTTTCTCCCCATTCAGGCTGCAGAAACAGGAAGTGGGAAAACTGGTGTAAGTGTTTCATTTAAGTTGACTGCCTTTGCAAGAGCTGAACTTCAAAGTGATTTTGAACAGTCGGTTTTCCTTTGAAACATTAATAAAACAACCATGGAAAGTAGATGGTTTGCTATCAAGGGTGATATCTTTGTTGCCAGCAAACTGATGATCTATAAAAGAGGATAGAGAGTCATAGTATCATTAGGGTTAGATTCACTTAAGAATTTTGAGTGTCTCTTGTAACGAAGAGATTGCAAACAGAAGTCAATGTACCCGGTAACCTAGAGAAACAGTTTCTTTTCCTTTTCTTTTTTTTTTTGAGAGGGTCTCACTCATTATGTAGTCCAGACTGGCCTTGAACTCACTATGTAATCTAGGCTGGGCTTGAACTCACAGGATCCTCCTGCCTCAACCTCCCAAGAGGTGTATGCCACCACTCCTGGCTATAATTAACTTCCTTAATAGCTAAATACTAACACAGAGAACTGTTTTTGATAGGCATTCAGTATTCCGGTCATCCAGATAGTGTATGAAACTCTGAAAGACCAACAGGAAGGCAAAAAGGGGAAAACAACAATTAAAACTGGTGCTTCAGGTAATTTTTATAAATTGACGTTTGTTTGTTTTTGTCTAAATGAGTTGTTCTCATTCCTAGCATTTGGAAATGTGGAGCTTGAGTAGATGTTTTTCTTGCCAGTATCTCAGGGTGGTATGGAATTGGTGCCTTGGACCCAGGGATGCTAAATGTTTAGACCCTAAACCAAGAATGGTGCCCCCCTGAAATAGGAACAGTCTCTCTTAGGAAACACTGGCACTTTAGAAATGATACTTATTTGGCCCGGGGCTCAGTGGTGCTGCCACCTGCCTCGACAGCGCAAGGTCCCAAGTTCAATCCTCAGTACCAAAACAAAAGAAATAATACTTATTTTAGGGTTTTCCTTAACCTTGACGCCTTGCATCTAATAAAGATAGATTGGTACACCTTTCAGCACAAGTACTGACAAAGGATTTTCCAAATCATTGATAGGAGTAAAAACCCATAATGATGGGAAGTACCATATTGCCTTACGTAGATAAAAGGCATACTTTTTCCTCATAAGATAACAAAGAAGTACCTACAAAGTTAAAATGTACATTGTGAATTGTAGAGTAAGTTTCTTATTTTCGGTCCTAACTACAGAGATCAGTCCTTTAAGTCTGTACCATGAAGAGTCTTACTTTAGTTTCTTCATTTTTAAACTTGCTTTTGTTAAATGATTCTAAATTCCATCCCTAGTCTGTCTTAATCTGTGGTTTTGCTATATTTTAACAGAATTTATTTCTTATGAAGTTACTTTTGTTTTACAATAGGAACAGGACTGTGACAAAATAGCAAGCTTAGAGCGGACCTTATCAACTCTTCAGTTGTTTCAGAGTAATTTCACGTGGTTCATAGAATGAACTTAATTGTGAATGAATTGTGCGGTAATGGAAACGCCATTCAGACTTCTGGACTATTCTAAAATAGTTTCCGAATTTGTAACAACTATCTGCCAGCAGTTATGAGACCTGGCGATGAAGGGAACGCTTTTAAAGGAATGGTGATAGTTCTGAAAATCATGTTCTCTGAAGAATAAATAGAGAAAGATGGAAAAGAAGTACAAAAGGAGGTAGTATAATTGTTGAATTGCTGGAGGGAAAGTAATTGTTGTAGAAAGTAGGGTGAGAACCAGTCAGAAATGATGTGGATGGAGACTTCTGTTTAATGGTCACTCTTCCTCAGAGCTAGATCGGGCCAGGAGCGGGAGAGAGATGCTCAGGAGAGTTATTTCTCCATTGATCAGCGTATCTGAGCTGATGGTGGCGGTGTCCTGAGCAGAGATGAGCTAGAGAGGGTTTCTACCTTCAATGAGAGGTTGGGCTCAAGAACATGTAGGGTTCTCTTCAGTGACTACAGTTCCTTGATTATCCACGCCACTAAGATGCTTCAGAAAGTAAGGAGAAAGAACTGATTTCTGAGTAATACACTGAATTAAGGGGAAGGAGCTGCTCTTCTTTTAATCGTGAGGCCATGGAGGCTTTGAGATGCTGGTCAGCTTTTCTGTCATGGTTAGAGTTAGCTCACAGGGTGACCTAAAGGTCGTGTCGGTGAGAGGAGAGAAGAGTGACCATCATCTGGTGCCGAGCGCACTGGAGGGAGTGCAGAGGAGGCCCAGTTCCAGATAGGCCAGTGGTTGTGGTCCTGACATGTTTGAGTCTCGATTTTCCATTTTTGCTTTTAATCTAAATGGCACCCAACTTACATGTATATTCTGTGTAACGTGTGGAACCATATTGAATCTAGAGGAATAAAGTTTCATATTAAATATTGGCTTTTTTTTTTTTTTTGGTACCGGGGATCAAACTCAGGTCCTTGCACTTGCAAGGCTGGCGCTGGAACCACTGAGCTAAATCCCCGGGCCTTGGCTTTCATTTTTATAAAGCGTTTCAACTTCATATGTTTCTCAGTAACTTTTCTTATTTTAATTCGTTCAGTGCTCAACAAGTGGCAGATGAACCCATATGATAGAGGCTCTGCTTTTGGTAAGTAGATTGGTTTCCCCAGCTCATTGGGAATCCAGACACTTCTTTTAAAAAATGTGAGACTAGGGCCTGGGATTTAGCTCAGTGGTTGCATCACCTGCTTGCAAGTGCAAGGTCCCGAGTTCGATCCTGATACCAAAAAAAAGAAGTAAGCGTACCAAGAAAATGATGAAGTATAGTTAATGATTTAATTTACCAGGTGTTACAATACAGTCACTGTATCATTAAATAGTATAGCGATACACAGGAATAGATGGGATGTGGTGGCTGTTGGTCTCAGTACTTATGAGTAGTTGATACGCAGAAAAATTATATTCATTTCAGTGAGAAAAAGTGATTTATTCAGTAAAGGGTGCTGTACTCTGATGAGCCACCTGGAGCAGTATAAAATTGACTTAGCTCCTGTCATAATTAGAAATAAATTCCATGGACATTAAGATTTAAAATGTATGTGTAAGGGCCGGGGATTTAGCTCAGTGGTTCCGCTGCCTGCCTCACAAGCACAAGGACCTGAGTTCCATCCCCAGTACCCCCTCCAAAAAAAATTAAAACCTTGTAAAATGTATGTGTATATGTGTGCATGTATATATAAATAATGTAAATACAAAAAAAAATCACATGTACAGTTTAGAGGTAGGGAACTTCCCTAAAATGGGCAAAGGATGTCACAGGCAGGCTGCTCATAGATGAGCCAGTTGGCACGGTACACAGCACAGAGGTCGAGCTCAGGGCAGGAGAGAAGCGGGTTCAGGTCATGGTGAGACGCTGCTCTGTGCCCGTCTGAGCGGCCCGAAGTCAGTGTGACCAACTTAGACATCACTGCCTTTCTGGAAAGCAGCCTGGCCTCACTGTCCAGATAGAATGTCCTGCAGGGCCTCGCTTGTGGGCTGAGAGAACACACAAAGCTGTTTGCCCACCACTCCATACTGGGAAACCAGCCAGTAATGTCAGTGCTGTGGCTCGGGGAGTGGCTGCCAGATCAGGGCGATGCAGGGAGTGCTGGGAACCATCACACATCACCATGTGAGTCAGTACAGAACTACAGAACAAAGAGTTGTGGCTGGGGGTTGAGTAAGGAAAGTACAAAGACGTAGGATGGGCGTGAGGACTCACGCAGTGCAGCCAGACCCTATAAGGGGACCATAAGGGCGATTAACCTTTGGGAGCAAACTGCTGTCACCCAGGGATCGGCCAGTCTCAGCCCCACACTGCCACTCATGACATCTCATGTAAAAGTTCTTTTCTTGTATGTATGTAAAGACTTTTAAATACAAAAACTTCGAGGATTTGTCGATGCTAGAGAACTGTAAGTTCTAATTTTATATAACTCATTACCCCATGAATATTTATGCTTAGCTTCATTTAATCTTTGAAAAGTGAAATGAGATGTGTGATGAGGTGGTTTTAAAAGTTAGTTCTAGGGCTGGGGATTTAGCTCTGGTGGTGCTGCTGCCTTGCAAGCGCAAGGTCCTGAGTTCGATCCCTAGTACCAAAAAAAAAAAGTTCTGTATTAGGTGACAATTACAGTTTGTTTTATTTCTAGTATAGATAAAAGGGAAATCTTTGCTTAAAGCCAACAAGCACTTAATATGTGAGTGATTGACTATGATGTGTAACAGAACCTTTGCTCTTAGAGCTCTAATAAACACCTGTTTATTTATAAGCTCTTTTCTACTTTTCTATTAGATTTCTGGATTGGAGAACAAGACAGGCAGTTCCGGTTACTGCTAGTGTAGTGGTCACTCCAGCTATAACCTAAGTGTAGGATCAAGTGCCATATCATCCCTGACCACCCGTTTCTTTAAAGGCTTCTAGAGAATTGGTCCAGCACATTTGTGTCAGCAGTGCAGTCAGATTGGACTGGTGTTGGTTCTTTTTGAGATTTGTCGCTATCGTAGATGACAGTACAGAACCTAGCTCGCACAGAGCCGAGGACGTCCAGGGGACCATAAGGGCGATTTGCCTTTGGGAGCATACCGCTGTCACCCAGGAATAGGCCAGTCTCAGCCTCTGCAGTAGTGAACAGATTCTCTTATTCAAGAGGCTGATACTGTTGTTTGTTTTGTGGAACTGGGGACTGAACCCGGGGCCCTGTGCATGCTAGGCAAGTGCACCAGCAACTGAGAAACTGACGCTTATTTCAGAATGCATGGTTTGTGGGGCCTGCACTGACATGTTTTGTGTGTTCTTTCCCAAATCCAGCGATTGGGTCAGATGGGGTTTGTTGTCAAAGCAGAGAAGTGAAGGAGTGGCACGGATGCCGAGCTACCAAAGGACTGGTGAAAGGTACTGGGACTGCATTGTACTGGTGTAAACGTGGGACTCTAGCAGTGCATGCCTCTTCCTTAGATAGCTTTAAATCCAGGAGCTGGAAGGTGTCCATGTGGTTCATACAAGGTGTAATTCAGGAGCAGTGAGAAAGTCATCGTAGGCTGAAAGGATCATTGTACAGTGTGTGTGGCTTACATAAATCTGGACATATCTTACTTCTCTAGGGAAACACTACTATGAAGTATCCTGTCATGACCAAGGGCTCTGCAGAGTCGGGTGGTCTACCATGCAGGCCTCCTTAGACCTTGGTGAGTGCTTCTAAAGTCACTGGATTGATCGGTTTATGTTTATGGATTGTTAGCATTTTACTGTTTTGGGAAACAAAATGATAGAATTAACCATTAAAGGTTTGTATTCTAGGGATAATTATCTGTACTTCATTCTGTTCTGGGAAAGAGTCACAGGAACTAAGAAAAATACATAAAATTATGTGAAATAAAGGGGGAATAAGGTTAAGAATACCAGGGAAGTCAGGTGTATTACCTCTCCTGTCGCTAGGGTATGATACCTGACACCCACAACTTAAGGAGAGGTTTAATTTGGTTCACAGTTTGGGGGGTTCAATCCATGGTCAGCTGCTCCAAGACAGAAACATCATGGCAGAAGGACGAGGAGGAGGAAAGCTGCTCACCCTGTGACATGCAGGAAGCCAGAGGAGGAGCACTGGAAGAAGGCGCTGTTTATACCCTGCAGAGGCCCCCAGAGGCGTTCCTCCTCCTCGCAGGCCCCACCTCCCACAGCACTGCCAACAGTGAACTCATGCGTGGAGGAGTCCACTGACGATGAGTACAGCGCCCCAGATCCGTCTGAACACAGGAGACTTTTGCAGGACACTAGGCTAAATCATAATACGGGGTAAAGTTAGTATGCAGGAGTGTGCACCACATAGTACTGTGTAAATGCTTTACTTATTGTAAGTTGGGATCTGAATTTCTTAGTGGTGAAAGCAGGGAGGAACGCAGTATAGCTGATATCTGAGTACTGAATTGCTTCCGTAGGCTAAAATTACTTCGGTTATGCACAAGATTCAGAAACTTCAGGGGAAATTTTCCTGTTTTGTTTTTTTTTTTAACAAGGAGCTATAAAATTACTTCTTTCACCAGGCTTTTAATTTTGTTTACTCTTACCAGATAACTAAACTGCTTTTTCCGTGTAGGTACTGACAAGTTTGGATTCGGCTTTGGTGGAACGGGAAAGAAATCCCACAATAAACAGTTTGATAATTATGGAGAGGTAAGCTCTGATATTACTGTCTTAATCATAGACTTAGTGCTTTTTCTTGCATATTGACCACTTATGTAGAAATGCTTCTTATAGACAAGCGGATTTTCTGTGGATTTTCCACAGAAAATTCAGATTTGCACTTCAGTGAAGAAATAGTACAAAACCAGATAAATATGTTGAAGTTACAGTTTTTCTTTTGTGCCATTTATTAGCTCCTCCAAAATGTATTGCATTGTCTTTCTACCCTATTCTGATTTTGACTTTGGTTTGTAGAAGTGTTCCTCTCGTTTTTTGGTTTTGATTATGATGACTGTGAATACAGCTGTTCTGTGAGTCTGCTGCCACAGTATGGAGCTAAATACGCCAATTCTGAAGAGTCTCACGGGCCCGCTCCTGTGTGCTGCCTGCCCGGACAGGCACTTTGACACCTCCATTTCCACCTGGAGAAGTTCCTTTGAAACACTGGCATGCAGTTTTGATGCAGCATTATTACTTCTAACTCCATGTAAGATTTTGCTTTCTTTCCGCATTTCTAGGAATTCACTATGCATGATACTATTGGATGTTACCTGGATATTGATAAAGGGCATGTAAAGTTCTCCAAAAATGGTAAGCTTTCTGTGGGTCTTATAGCAAAAAGATGTGTTTACCATTTGTAATTTGTCCTTCATCCCCTCATCGTCCTCTCCAGCCCTCTGTCCCTCCCATGCTGCCTTTGGTTTGAACAGGTATTTATGAAGTGCTTGCTGTGTGCCAGGTGGGTTAGTGCTAGAGACAGCGGAGCATATATTCTGTTGGGTAGCTGGAGCCAGAAACAACATCTTAGCTGCTAGTAAGTGTCCAAAGGAACACGTAAAGCACGGGCAGGGGCCCACTGCACTTTCCACTGAGACGTGGAGAAGACTGGTGACGGGCGGCACTGCAGCAGGAGCTGGAGCCAGTTGGGTGTGCAGGTTTCCTGGAAGAAGGTTCAGGTGGGGGGCACTGTGACTGAAGGGGGTCCTCAGGTGCCTGTGTAGCAGTGCAGGGGCCCATGTGTCCCAAGTGCACGGAGCTCGGAGCAGGTGGTAGTGTTAGCTTGTTGACTCAGGCTGTGGCACAGACCTTGAGCTTTGTTTTGAGTGGGTTGGGGCAGAGAGTAGCATGCTCTGTGTGTAGCTTGTCAGTGCCATCGGGCTGCTGGGTTGCAGATGGACTAAGGAGGGGCTTGGCTGAGATACCAGGGAATCACTGCAGGGAAAGGACACGAGCAGAGCCGGAGGAGGGAACAGGGCAGTGTGGGTACAGAAAGTGCCTCCAGGAAGAAGGAACAGTTAGGTGGTGTCCATGCCACCCAGGCTCCGGTCCAGGAAGATGGGGATGAGAAGGAACTGCTAACATAGCAAGGGGAGAGCATCTGTGGGTAAGGGGAGCCCACTGGGAGTCCATTCAGGACTGAGAGGAAGTGGCTGTAGTGAAAACAGAAATAGGAATTAGGGAATTCTGCTATGGAAAGGAGAGGCACAATAGAAGGAAAGTGGGGGCCACAGTTTGCCTGTGTTCCGCTGTGGAAGGACTCGTGGCGCTGAGCTGGATATTTCTCTGTCGAGGCGAAGCAGCCCAGTGCTGGGGAAAGAGGGAAAGTGAAGCAGTCAGCTTCGGGGAGCACAGCTCGGTTCATGGTTTCCAGAGGGAAGCGTGGGTGCAGGAAGCTGGCAGACATGGTGGACATGAGCGTGTGGCAGTCCTTTCCTGACTCCTTCAATTTCTCTTGTGTTTTCTTTTCACTAGGAAAAGACCTTGGTCTGGCCTTTGAAATCCCCCCACATATGAAAAACCAAGCCCTCTTTCCTGCCTGTGTTTTGAAGGTAATTCCGAATCTAGTTAAAAAGAGGTCTTTTGCAATCCTAAGCTGTTGGGTTGTCATTTTGTTGTATTGGGCAGTTCGCTGTTAGATCAAGAATTTTTATCTTCTTTGTTCAATGCTAGAATGCTGAGCTGAAATTTAACTTCGGCGAAGAAGACTTTAAGTTTCCACCAAAAGATGGATTTGTTGCTCTCTGCAAGGCACCAGATAGCTATGTGGTCAAGTCACAGCATTCAGGTATCACCAGGAGGGCACAGGGCTCTGGAACATGCCTCGGAGAACCCAGGACACAGGGCTTCCAGTGATTGCGCCTTCCTCCTTGCTGTTAGTCCCACTGCCCTGTCTAACACAGCAGTGAAATCAGTCCCTGGCCCAGTTTACAAGCACTCTTGGTTTCGAGGGGGATCTAGGGCATCTCAGTCATGTGGCAACCGTCCAGAATGTGACAGCTGAGTAGAGCAGCCCTTGTCTGGGTGTAGACAGAAAGCCTGAGGCGTAGGGGCTCGAGGGGCCTGCCCAGAGTCAGAGAGCAGAGAGCGGTAGGACGGACTGGCTTCCGGTCCCAGCGGTCTGACTCGGAAGCAGGTGGTCTAACCCAGTCTGTGGCCCAATCTGTTCAGCTGTTTAAACAAGTGTATTTCCTAGCTAGTGTTATCACAGAGCAGAGTGGTCATCTTTACCACACATTGATCACTTCCCATTATTCCAAGTATATTTAAGGGAATTTAATTTCCTCTTAGGAATTTTAACTTTATTTTGTTTTGTTTTACTATCTCCTTACTTTTTGAAAATTAGTATTTGACATTTTGATATTAGAACCTTTGTGTTCACATTTCACAAATGCCCCAGTGTTTTTAGGTGTGATTGAATGTGTTCTGGTCTTTTTTCCTCCCTTAGGCAACGCACAGGTGACTCAAACAAAGTTTCTCCCCAACGCTCCCAAGGCTCTCATAGTCGAACCCTCCCGGGAGCTCGCTGAACAAACTTTGAATAATGTCAAGCAGTTTAAGAAATACATTGATAATCCTAGATTAAGGTAAATCTTCCATCGTGCTCATTTGTCTGTTGAAGAAATGAGGTGGCTCTTCAGTGCGTGGATGCAATACATACATGGAAGGGTGTAAATCTACTTACCTGTAGTAGATAGTAATGGTGTTGCTATGTGCCAGGCATGGTGGTGCACACCTGTTATCCCAGCACTAGGGAGGCTGAGGCAGGAGGATAATTTTGAATTCAAGGCCAGCCTGGGCCACATAGTGAGCTCAAAGCCAGCCTGACCCACATAGCAAGACCTTGTCTGAAAAAAGCAAAAAAAAAACAAACCCCAAAACAAAACTTTAAGTATTTCTAACTGATCTTACTTGAAGAGTCTTGGATAGTCAAATAGCATTGGAATAAAAACAAGGTTTTTAAAGGGAGGATTCCATTCCATATTAGGTTAGGGTTAGCGCTTCATCTTCGCGGGACACACGCGGCTCTATTCTGTGAGACGCTCACTGGAGAACTAAAGCATTTTCTCCCATTCTCTGACTCCCATTTTTTCTGATTTCCCAGAAGTCAGGTTTTTTGGTTTCTTTTCTCGCTGTGTTTTTGGAGTTGTATCTCAGGCTTCGCCTAAACCCAGGCCTTAAATCTTCTCCGGTGTTTCCCGTGTTGTATGTCTCAGGTCCCTGGGGAGGTAGTTTCTGGGCCTGGTGTGAAGAAGGGGCTGGGCTCAGTCTTTTCCACGCACATATCCGTTCATCCCAGCACCATTTGTTGAAATGAGAAAGATTCAAACAACATAAAAGCACTTTCTGAGGAAAGCGAGTCCTTTCATGTCCTCCTGAAAGTCCTTGTAACTGTCCGTGGAGACAGCCTTTTAAATGGACTGTCACCTGTTCTTTCAGGGATCCGTTATACAGTATGCATGCCTGGAAGGTAGATCAAAACCAGGGTTAGAGGCCCTTGAATTACCATGACGGAGCAGGCTGTGTCGATGAGGACTCGCTTTCTCTGTTCTGAGCTTTCTCACACTTTCCAGTTATGTGGTGCGCGTGGCTCCTGCGAATGAAGTGCTTTGTTTCCAGCCTTCTCACTGCCTACTTAATTTGGATTCTTTCTCAGTGACTTACTTGGCCTTAATTTCCACCTAAAAGAAATGGATCCTAATGACCCAACAGTATAAAGCAGACTGTCTTGGTCACTTCCACATTGCTGGGACACAATTCCCAACACCCACAACTTAGAGGAGAGGTGCATTTGGCTCACGGATTCAGTCCATGGCCAGCTGCTCCACGGCAGGAACATGATGGCGGAAGGGCCCAGTGGAGGAGAGCGCTCACAGCATGGTGGTCAGAAAACAGAAGGGAGGAGCTGGGGACAAGAATCGACCTTCCACGTCACATCCAGGGACCTCCTCCAATCAGGGCCACCTCCCACAGCACATTCAGCTCACCCATGATGGAGCCACTGATGAGCAGAGCTCCCCATGAGCCATCACCTTCCACACACAGGAGACGTCAGGGTGCGTCTTAGATCCAAACCAGGACACAGACTGTAATGTCCTCATCATTACCTGGTGTTTATTTCAGGGAGCTTCTGATAATTGGAGGTGTTGCAGCACGGGACCAGCTCTCTGTTTTGGAGAATGGGGTAAGTTGTACTTTCAGTTCTTCTAAAGCAGCATTAGGGTTACTGCTGGGCAGTGTACTTTTGGTTTTTTTTTCAGGAATAATCAAGAGAGAATAAAATTGGGACTCCAGGGTGTGGGGTGAGGGCTGAGTGTTAGTCATTTGCGAGGGCAGCAGTAGCAGGGTGCAGGTCACTGTGCTACTTTCTTTTGTGAACGTTTGGAAAGTTGTATAAGAAAAGTTAAATCACACTTGTTGTCATTGGAATTAGACCCTTTCTCATGTCAGGCTGAGTGTGAGTCCTAGTGTGGGTGCTCGCCTGCTGTGTAACCTAAGTGGTTGTGATTTCAGTATTCCAAACTTTGGCTTCCACATTTAAAAGCAGGAGTCAGTAGAGAAGTACTTGCCTTAGTGGTAACAAAATTAAACTTGTAAGTGTGTGGCAGACAGTCGTTATTACTGTTACCCTGGACCATGACACTGTGACTGTTGTTAATAAGCCTCTTAGTGGGCACTCAGCACACTGGGCGCGAGCACTTCGCATGTCCTCTTTCTGGATTATCACCCCTCTTACAGAGCAGACAGCTGGAGAAGCACCCTAGACAGTCGGAGGTGAGACAGAGCTACACAGCTTAGTAGTGGTGGAATTGGGATTTGAGAATTCCTGCAAATTCATCACATTTTTTGCTTGGGAAAAGTTTTATTTATTAGACTATGCATAGCAGTTAAGATTTTTCAAACTAGACTGCTAAAATCCTCTTGATTTTGGATTTGATTATGGCATGATCTCCAGTCCATGTGAAAACATTTAGCACTGACTGTAACTGCTGCAGTAGCCATGCCGATGTTCTAGGTGGACAGCTAGCAGTTGCCATGGTGGCTCTGCAGGCTCCATTGGGTGCCTTTGCTGTTTCCAGGTGGATATCGTCGTCGGGACTCCTGGAAGGCTAGATGACTTGGTGTCGACTGGAAAGCTGAACCTGTCTCAAGTTCGGTTCCTGGTCCTGGATGAAGCAGTATGTTGAAATACAGTCATGGTTTGAGAAAAGTTCACTTGTGTTTTTTGAGAGAAAGGATGTAAAATGAAGAAAACCGAGCTGGCATCAATGCCGTCAACTCACTCAGTTATGTTTTCCACCTCTGTACCGATGCAGGTGCAGGCTGCCCTTTTAGGCCATGCATCCCTCTTCTACGGATTCACCCAAGCCTGGGTTGAAAGCATTAAGAAAGGATCACACCTGTCCTAAACTTGGAGACCTTGTCATTTCCCTGCATGGGACAGCAGTTGTCTCCCTGGCATTCACACTGTGTGGGGCCTGTGAGTAATCTAGAATCTGGAGTCACAGGCTCTATGCAGACACCACTCTGTCTGTGAAAGGGATGTCACCCACTGGAGTGCAGTATCCGAGGAGGAGCCCAGAGCCAGTGCCGGTGGATATGGCACTGAAATGAAACCACATACTTTAAGTACTTCCTGTCATGGTCAGCCTGAACGCTGTTGATCTATTATATGGACACTTCCTGGTTCACTTACCTTTATTACTAGATCTGTAGATAGGTTTGGTTTTTACTTCAAATAGCTATCTTTATACATAAATCATTTTTACAACTACAAATTAATTATGTCAAGAGTTGTAGGGCCGGGGATTTAGCTCAGTGGTTTCGCCGCCTGCTACGCAAGCTCAAGGACGCGTGTTCAATCCCCGGTACCAAAAAAAAAAAAGAGTTGTAGAATGCAGACCATCTATGTAATAGGACGTGAACCTGTGTGAGGCTTTTGCAGTCAGCTTCCAAATTACTTTCAAGATAGGTTGAACTAGTTTCTTAGCACTGAAGCTTTTTAATTCTCACATTAGTCCTACTCTTAAAGCATTTATAAGAAGCTATTAAGTCTTGTGTTAGTCCTAGAATACTAGAGTATGGTTTTGGATTGTTTATTGTAGCTTTTTATATTTTAATCACAAGGAGCTCAAAAGTTGAATTTGTACCTTGTCTATAAATACTCAATAAAAATATCCCTTTGAAATACGGGGATTTGGGTGTATATGGATTAGTTTTCTTTTTTTTTTTTGGTACCGGGGATCGAACTCCTGACCTTGTGAGGCAGGCACCTGAACCACTGAGCTAAATCCCCGGCCCTGGATTAGTTTTCTTATCTTACATGTAAATTTGATTTAGAAAAGATAGGTTTTAAAGTAATGCTGACTAAAAACATTTCTCTTTGCTTCTCCTGCAGGACGGTCTTCTTTCTCAAGGTTATTCTGATTTTATAAATCGGATGCACAGCCAGATTCCTCAGATTACCTCTGATGGAAAAAGACTCCAGGTACCGATGACTGACACAGCCTGCAAGACACTGTTTCATAAAACTTTTTTTTGCGGGGGGGGGGGGG